AATATTTTGAATCATATTCAGTTGCCCAGTCTGTGACTTTAATGCGAATAGTGAAAGTCAGTTTTTACAGTGAGTATAATATCATTGAGTCTTTTGATCAAAATCAAGTAATCCACCCTCCCTTCAACTTTAATGTATTTGTTTCAGTTATCACAATCGATATCCTTTATATGTTATTGCTCCTTCCTCCTGATATATAACTTCACAAGTCAAAACTTACAGCTATAAATTTAGTGAATTTATCTCAAAGTCATTAATTACTGAGTACATGTTTCTTAAAGCGGTTGTGAGAAATCTCGTTAAATTTAATGTTTCAATAGTAAAATAGTAGTTGTATCATTTAAAGCTACTATCAGTCAACTGATTGTTGATATTCTGATTATTTTGACCAAAAAAAGAAAATTAGAACTCTTCTGAAGTTAAAATTTTTTGCCCCTAAATGCGCTGGTACAGCCAATGGTGTGAAGAACCCGCTCATCCTGCCCAAACTCTCCCACATGACCACGCGTGTACAGCCATTGTCAGAGAAGTCCTAATCAGTGCCTTCCCGCTGCACTATTGTTGTTTACGAAGTTGAGAGGACGAAAAGCGAATGTTAGTGCTTTAACTGGGTTAATGGACACGGTGGATCCAAATCACTGGTGCACATAAGTTCCAGGAACCTGAGGGAACGAATGGCATATGAATCTAATGTTGGTCGGCGACCACCATGGGACTGGATCTCCTATCGTTGCTCCATCACTTTGTGGATTAGGCCTTTACGTCAATGGCTCGAAGAGTGGTCCCCTAAGAAAAGCACCTGCTCCGGTGTTGGCGCCAGGTATCATTCCAGCTCTCACACATCGAATAATTTGTGTGGTGCATATGTATTTGACTCCATCTTGTACAAATTTTTATATGCTTAAATAATGATAGTAGTTTATGAACAATTCATGATCTATACACTGAAAAGATAATGCAAACAAATATATGTATACGCATGAGGTGATCATTGCTTATGAAAAATTGAAGTATTTAATTAATTTATTCACTTTAATATTTTTTTAGTCGGGTAAATGTGAAAACCTATTGATATGTGGATACATAGCTACTGTTCTGATCGATTATCACACGATATATATAATCGTCTTAACTTCAACTCTCTTAAGTTTATTTGTGAAAACTTATGCAAGAAATTTCCATAAATAATCAAAAAATGAGTTAACCAGTCTGTCATTATTGTTCCGTGCTTTTTATAGTTGAGTTGTTTATCTTATCCAGTAATAAGACCATTAACCATGATTGCTACTGGATGAAGATGTTATAGCGAAAATTGAATAAAATTTAATGTATCAAATATTTGGTTTTCAAAATAACTTAATGAAACATAGAGTCCCTGAATTCCGTCCAGCATACGATCATGGAATTACAGTGTAAAGTGGTCTTAAATTCAGTGCTTATTTTATAATCCATCTAAAACTGATGTCGGTTCATGTTTTAGTTCATATGAAATAAAAAGGTATCTTTGAGTATTACCAATCTTTATAAACAATGTTCTCTAATAAGAACTGGTTTAAAAAATAAGTTCATGGTTTTAAAAAAACACATGGAATTCTCTGTATTTATTAAAATGTTGTAATCAAGACATTTCAACAAACTGATATCATTTACAAACATTACTAATTACTAACTAATCAAATCATTTTGTTTACATTTAACATTAAACTGGATTGAAGACTATAAAATTAGTAATTAAGTATTTAATTCAAAACATATAAAATATACCAGATTGGAGGTTTTTGTAGTGATTGTACTAATTTAATAGTTGAATGCATGTGTCAATGTAAGCTAGACCACCATTGATAACTTGGAAGCACTGGACGCCAGTTTCATTCTAGTACGAGACTCGTCGGCAGTGTGTATCCATAACCCCGTAGGCGGGATTCGAACACATGAGCTTTGGTTTCGTGAGCAAACACTAAACCTCTAGATCACTAGTCCGGTATCTAACGTTGTGATATGATGGGAAGAAAAATCAATTTTCGATTGATTTACTCATTATGAGTTTTGTTCAACATTACTCCCCTTCTAATTCATTGTGATGATCATTCACTGTCGTATTTATTTTATTTTCTCGTATGATAGTTTATTCTGTATAATATACGATATTCCTGTATTCCATTGACATGAACTATACTCAGTCTGATTTGTTATAACTAAGTATTTTTCATATATGTGATTTAATCCTAATTATTAATCAAAATGGGTGTAAAATCAATATATAACCCAGGGTATTTTAGACTGTTTTGATCATCATCGTCGTCGTCGTGTTTTGGGGTTAATAAATCATCACTTATACCAGTCCTTGTGTTCTTACTTTCGCGTTGTGGGAATCGCCGTAGTCCCTCATTCCGAGTATAAGTGATCAGCGTTTTTTTGTTTTTCCGGCACAACAATTGCAACGACCCAATATAACACGGTGTTACTGTCTAACTTCAACCAATCTACGATATTGCTCCACCATCCATGATTGTTTTCAATGAGTAACTACTACACAACAAACACGGTTGAACTCCACTTGTCACGGCTTCTCATTAGAACTCCAGGAAATACCTCTTGAAGCCAGTCACTAATGAATTGACCAACACCGTTGGATGCCGGCTCAGTGATGCAGAAGATAAGCATTCACTCGTGAGACCTAAGTTCATATGTTCGAATCCTGAGTGTAGCATTATGGATGCACACTGCTGAGGAGTCTTGTAGTAGAACGAAACCGCTATTCAGTGCTTCCAAATTTGTAATGCTGGTCTACCTTACATCGAATCATGGATTTAACTGATAAAAATACATAATATACGATAAAATCGATTTGAATATATTTTGAATAAGATCATAATTTTATTGATTTCCCTAGAAGAGTGTATATTGGATAACACACTAATCCATTTGTACTATTTTGGTCATACTAAAAATCAATAAACATTAGCCGGTATAATTAGAAATAAATATTCATCTATTAACGATCTTATAGATGTAAGTAAAGATATATCGTATACATGTATCTTGTTCAATTATAAATAGCTAAATATAGTTATTTATTCTCTGAAGAAGCGACTTATACTGAGTTACGAAACGTCAGAAAATTTACTTTTTCTATTCATTGGGATACCTAAAAGTAAATTTATTTATTTATAACAATCCATTCAATGTTCAATTTATACGAAATTATCAAGTCAAACCTTACTAACGATACCTTGTTCAATTATATTAATTTAATAATTTTCATTTATTTTAAAGAAATAGAAGTAGTGAGTAATAAAAAAACATTAAGGTATAATAATGTAACGAAATAACCGCAAGAAGAAGAAGAAGAAGAAAAAAACAACACTGAGAAACGTAGTAAAGAATTTCTATTGATCAACAAATGATCATTTTTGGCTTCTCTCTTTTCAGAGATACTTTTTAACTCAATCACGTTTAGATGACTTCAATATATATAAAGATTTTCACTAGGTATACAGTAATAATAAAGAATTTCTACAGTGTTATTTGGTTGTTTGATTGAAATGAATTAAAATTTGTACAGTTAGAAATAACTTCTTATCATAAATCAATATCAGTTGTTGTTGTTATACCGTTTTATTGTCCTACAATCTTTCTAGTGATATTGATTCATGTTGTAAACTGACTTAGAAATTGTACAAAATCTATACATATTATGACTAAAAAGAAACAGATATTAACGAGTACAAAGAATGAAGACAAAGATCCGGAAAGGCGAAGATTAAAAACTGTATTTAAGCTCATATTGATCAATAGTCAGGATTTGAATAATTTAAACCAAATAATAGTTTACGCTTATCAGGCAATAACATAATGCATATTCAATATCCAATAAAATGCATTGTATTTTGAGCTGTTATTGATGGACTATCAACTATATATATAGAATCAGTTAATTAATTTTGTTACTACTGTGTGGAATGTTTTTTTTTCAAAAAATATGACAGTTATGATGCATATAGTTCAGTTTTTGATCTTACGTTTTTGCATTATGTCTATCTTTCAATATTATGCTTTATTACTAATGTTATCTGGTGAACGTAAAATGATCAGGATATAATTTCTGATAGATTATTTTATTAGATAAATTCTAAACATGTAAAATATACAATTTCATGTTAAATGTCGTACATTTAACATGTTTTGGATTCAGTCAATACCAAATGTGACTTGACTTGAACGTACAAAAATAAAACAGCTCAAAATCAGTTCCATAACAAAATAACGACAAGAAATTGTACTTATTAGGGTATTTATACTATGAAGAAGTAAAATCAATGCTTTCTATTCATTCTTTAATGGTAAAGTCTAATTATTTGGAATATTTAATCTATGGAAAATCAATAATTTTTTTTACTAGGAAAACGAGTTTATCTCTTTTTGAAAGTGAAAAGAACACTGTGAACTCTCGTTGTGCAATTATTTCCTCTACAGCTTTGTTTGTCTAATATTTATGTAATTCCATGATTCAATGAACTACATATTTTTAAAAGAAAACAGTTCACTGAATTTAAACTATTTTAAGCCAGGTGATTACCGTCAACTGTTTAGAAAAAAAACCTTCAGCATTTAATAATACCGTCAACTTATAATAAACAAACGAATTCCTATCCGACAACTTCAGTAATACGTAGTAGTCTATGAAACGATGATCACTTTTTATTCCTCCTGGTTAAACCCACATATTACCGTTAATTCTGACGTCTTTAAATTCTTTTCTTAAATATCAAAGTTTCTGATAAATGTATTACTACTTTTCAGTCCCTACAACCGACTATGAAAGCAAACTCTTTGAGGTATTACTGTCGAATAGTGGTTACCATCACAAATACATAGGTGTACCAGATTTAATATTTATCACATAACCTTTGAATATATGGAACTTTCTAATAAAATTTATGTAATACTGAAATTAAAGTTATAAAATGATAAAAAAATATCATATTCTTCATACTTACATATTTTCACTTATTCAAAGCAATAAAAATTTATGAGGTATGTTTTATGCAGGAAATGATCATTCAAGTAATTTGAAGTAGTTTCATTTGTAATGGTTAATCTATATTTTCTTATAGTTCCATTCGTTTCAATCATACCGTTCAATTATATTTTCCATATTTTATTGTGATTTAAAGTAACCTTTTTTTTAAGGATTAAACGTCTATTGTATTATAATTATTAAATTGCTTATTATTGACTAAATTGATTTGACCTTTATTTTAACTGTTTTTTTTTTAAAAATCCCTCTTTTAAATGTTTTATCTATAAATATTATTATCATGATCAGTTATTAATAGGTAAGTGAAGAGTAATTTCTTAATTGGGAATAATTCAACGACCAATCAGAATGTAATTTATCTGACCAATCAAATTAAAGAATGCTCTTCAATTTGATAAAATTGTCTGAGATGAAAACTTTTTAAAAAAAAGTGAATGTGCCAAATCTATTTTGTATGTTTATGTGAATATATATTTTCAAAAAGTGATTCGATAAGCCTATTTTTATGAAGGATTGACTGACAACTATTTTCTTGAAAATATTATAACAAGTAAATTTAGGAGTTGGGAAGAGAGAATGTTCTTTTAGTCTATTACTTAAGCAGATTGATCTTTTATTCTACATTAGATAAACTACGGAAGAACAATGATTATACATAAAGTATCCGACAAATATTTGAACAAGAGTTATGAAAACCGTATTTGTACAAACTTTTAGATACATCCTCTCACTACTTCAGTTTTTTTTTAATACCCGTGAAAATTCTCAGAAAATAACTTTAGCTACCTTTTCATTGTTATCGTAGCCTCAGTAAAGCACTTAAATTACTTAGAAAGTGGTATTTTCCTTAATAGTTTATCTTCATAAATGGTTCATGACATTTAGATTATTTTCTAAATCTTTTTCTCAAATGACATAAAAAGTTCAATGTTTAGTCGTTGTTCACATATTCGCTTGACAGAAAAACTATTTTCAACATTGAAATTATGTCATGTATTTATGAAAAACCTGAAGTCTTCATAGATATCAGTTATATTTTCAATTATAAATACATTAAATGAAGCTTTTGAAAATCATTATTGTATCTTGATTCAAAACATTGTAACAAATTTGAAAAAAATAACGCGGTAACGACTAGTTTCACTTAATTTTATGATCGGCCAGCTATACTATTAGAATATACAAAGTCTTCTAGAAACGTATATGGGTTCCAAGAATGACGTATTTCGAGGATCAATTCTTGAGGAAAAATACATCCATTTTACTTACTCAGCTATCCCATTATTTCAACAAGTGATAATGATTTTAATAAAAATGAAATGATGACTGGACAGTGATCAATACAATTTTCTTCTTCAAAATACCAATTCATTTGACGCATTAGTGTTTTCTATGCAATTATTACATAACAGAAAAAAATTACTATCCTATTGTAACTCAGTAAATTAGTCAATAACTTGCCTAAGTGTTGAGAATAGAACACTGAGTTTCAGTCTCCGCATGTGCATCAACCATAGGGATACACCTAACCGGCAAATTCCAAAATAGGACGACTCGCGTGTTCTGGATTCATCTGTTAGCTACCATCCAACTATCCATTCACAAAAAGTTGAAGGAAGACAGATTGTAACATCTAAATGATATTATTATTGTGGAATTAATGGATATAAATGCATAGTCGAATTATGGTAATTATTTTGGTATAAATAGGTTAGTTTGTCACAATTAAGAGGAATATAAGAATTTCGCTTTAAGCTGTTAATCGTAGCAAAACAGATCAACCTGAGATGGTGGATAGTATATTTTAGTCGGATTAGGATGTTTGCCACGGTGTTTCACTATCTGAAGATAAAAATTCTAACTGTGTAACATTTACTGACGTTCTGAACGAATGAATTATGATGATGATCTTCAGAATAACAATCAAAGGTCTTCAATCAAATAATCCAGTCCAGAGAACTCGGCATCACTAAAAGATATGACTGATGAATTTAAAATGGTCATTAAAAAAACTGCATCATTTCAGTAGGTAGCTAAGTGTTCAAAGCAAAGCATTAAATCCTCAGGTTTATTTTTAAAAAGATGATGTCATAAATCATTAGTTTTAACTTTAGTAAAGGCTAACTTGTAATTTACACTAAATTATTAATAAGTTTTAATCAATTTCTTTTTACTGCTACAGCACTTCTATAACAGTATTTATTGATGATCCTTTTAAAGAATTGATATAAACCGTTTGCGCATTTTTATAAATATATAAAACCTAATAAACCTTATTTAAAATAATATTTCAATGAATTAAATATATGACCAACTGAAAATCTATCAAATCATACTAACTGATGATTTCTACTCTGATATATATATATATATATATATATATATATATATATGCTCACTGGTGAATCACTTCAAGATGGATTTTCTGGAGTTTTATTCAGAAGCCGTGACTAGTAGAGCCCAAACCGTATCGGGTAGAGACAGGTATTTACCTCAGACAATGGATGAAGGATCGCTCAATATCATGGGTCGATTGAAATTAGACATTAACACCGTTGGATGCCAGCTCAGTGGTCTAAAGATTCAGCGATCGCTCACGAGACCGATGGTCCTGAGTTTGAGTCCCGCGTGCGGGGTCGTGGATATGCCCTGCCGAAGAGTCTCACGCTAGGACGAAACAGCCATCCAGTGCTTCCAGGTTTTTCATGTTGGTCTATCTTACATCGACTCATGAATCCAACTATTAATATATATATATATATATATTTATGATGAATATAAAATAGGACGAAATATTAGTTATTAATTCCACCGTGGCCGCAGTTAAACGTTTTCGAAAAATATACGGAGAACAGCTATAATTTAAATTACATTCATATCAGTATAATTAACATTTGAACAAAAACGTCGGAATACAATCATATAAATATATTTAGAACAACCATCCATTGATCTAATTAATTGTGATCACAACACATGATTTGCTTATTTTTAATATTTAAAGTTTAAGATTATCAGTTTAATAAAATTTCTAAATTGTAAGTGATATTAGAAGCAGAGATGGATAGTGGCTAACAGTGAAATCCAGGACTCGCGTTTCTTCCTATTTCGAACTCATCAGCGGGATGTACCTGTAATCCAAAGTTGGTGTTCACTCTGGGACTCGAAGCCAGTACTGTTTACTTCAAAACAATTACACCACCACTTAGCTGCTGAGTCCAGGCAGTCACTAGATTGCTCAATAGGTTAGAGTTTTAATTCATTTGTGTATTGTTTAGGAAGATTTAAACAAACAATACAAAAACTTAAATGTTGAAAAGAGTTTTGGATAATTACTCAGAACCAGTCACTTTATAAATATATTTACGTTACTGAAGATTAACAGCAAACTTAGTAGTAAAAGCAGGAGGCTAAGTACGTTGATGACATACTCTGTGGGCCAGCAAATGAAGTTAGATCTAGTAGACGGCGAAACCTATTGAATACCTCTATTTTTTGGCTTTGCGCAATTTGACTAACTTTTATCACAAACTGAAACCATTAAATACTCATAAGTATTTAACAGGTATTTCACATACTGATAATCTAACATTAGATTGAACTAATGACTTCAAAGTCTTAAACAGTTAGTGCGTGAACAGTATGGACGGCTTTTAAAAGAGAACCATAAAGTTATTCATCCCTTCCATGTTTCGTATAGCTTTCCATTTTGAAAAAGATAAAGTCGAAAGTTGTTAAGTCGGGAAATATTATGCATCATGATTGTTTTGCGTTTCTTCAACTCCTGATCTATTTAGCCAGGAAAGTTTGAAGCCGGCCAATATGTTATCAATTAACATTGATAACGGTAGCCCTATATTAAAAATTGATTGAATTTGAAATTAAAAACAAATCGGCTTTATTGACTGAATAACATAAACTTTAAACTCCATTCTGTACACTTCCATGAAGAAAATAACTATTCAAAACTTGCTTGATTTCAACTACGTTATAAGTGTAGTCAATTCATGAAGTTATCTTCAAACTTTGTAAATTTGCACAAACTATATAAAAGGATTGTTTGATCTAACTTTTTCCATGAATGATAACTGATGAGACAAGTCTGGACGAATCAGGAATTCACAACATATTAACTAGACAATTTACAATTGAATAAGCCATCTTAATGCCATTAGTTACCTTTGGCCAACTCCCAATAAAGGTCTTAGGTCACCTAGTTTTGAAAATAAGTGTCACATATTTCTTGTAACGATCATCAGGAGTATAATTTTTCCAAATTCTATTTCTTTACTTCCTATTCTATTTTCTAACTGATTGCTGCCACTTTTAGTTTACTAACTTTTTCATCTAAAGATCATGGTAGTTATTGTCTAAATAGAGCTATTCCACTTCAATGTTATCTTTGTTAAACATCAAGCTTTCTGCTGCACTATTTCCTTCTTTGTGTATTTCTTAGTTGGAAGTTACCGTTCAAAAGTTATATGTATCAGTTGCCCTCTTATAGAGTTTGCAGTACATTTAATCTGTTTTAGAATAATATTGATTATTTATAAATCATAAATCAAACCAAATAACAAGACACAACACAAATACTAAACTTTTATATTAATTTCTTAGAATATATTCGTTGTTATACGAATATTCGTCAAGATTATAACGAATAGTTTGCTAAAAATTGGACACCGAGTATAAATAAGTCATTATATGTGAAAGTTGTATTTGAAATAATCTCAGCGATTGAAATTTAAGATAATTCCGGCGTTTCGTCCAGCAAACTTGTCTGGACTTCTTCAGGGTAATAATCAAAATAAAAAATATACTTATATTTGGTTGCACCGACTACTTGTCTGACTATATAGATTGACCATTGTCTAAAACCTATCATAAAAGCAATGATCATGCCTTAATAATAATAATAATAATAATAATAATAATAATAATAATAATAATTAGTACTACAGATCTCCATGCCAGTGGCAATTCATGTTTAGTTCAAAGTGCTATTCGTTAGTAATTAGGAAAGAGCAAAATATATAAAACTCAGTAATTTAGCCAAATCTATTGGTTAAAACATTTCGAATTATTGATTTTATATACTGTATTCATATATCGATCAATTGATTAACTACTAGTTTAATACATTCAAATTTCTTTGTCAACTGAATATTTAAAATGAAATATTTCATTATTATTTCGAATGTCATTTTAATCAATGATTTATTCATAAGTTAATCTTCATCC